TTTGTAATTACTTATTATCATATTTTAATATAACATTAACAGTTGAACTTAAAAAATAATACACGGTAAATTAATATTAATTTAATTGCGCTGTTTTTATTTTATTTACCATTTATTAGATTTTACTATAAGTATTATATTTAAATAAGTAATAATTCAATAACTTCAAATCAAGCTATGTTATAATACAGTTTCTACGGTCTACATGTTGGGACATAAATTTAAGTAAACAGTATCTTAATTTATAATCTGTAGTTCGTAGGTACGCGAGGGTATTGAAAATATTACGGCGGCATTTGCGTATAATGAATTATATAATGATACGAATGGTACTGGACGAACGTTCATAGACAAATAAACGGCGCTCCCGAAGTCCCGAACGAGCACTCGTCGCCGCCGTCGGCCGGTTGCGAATAGTAGGCGTGACTTAAACGCCGCGCGCTTGCGGATCGTGAAAACACCTAACAGCGCATCCTCTCGGTCGTTGCATGCGTACAGCTTTGGGTGACACGTCCTCTTAATCCGCAACACCACGGCCGCGCCTCGCTATAGTTCTTATATCTATTTTTTTATTAGTGGCTAGTAGTCTAGTACCTACCATGTTTATTATGTAGTATGTACGTTGGCGATTGCATACGGGTATGGACATCCAGTGACAGTTATTTATAGTTCATAATATCGATAATATTAATAACAAAACATAGAAGTATAGAACGCTTGCGGTCGTGTATTCAGCACTCGTGTATGGCGTATGCGGGTTCAGTATTGCATACGCTATCATCGACAGTATATTATTATAAGTTTTGACGTGCGTAAGTTTTGACAAAAAAATCTACGTTTCATGATGAAGTAATCGAAAATTTCCTTATTAAAAATAGAAGAATTGATTTAATATATAAGTCATTTTTTAGCTAGAAAGTTTATTATTTTATTTAAATTTATGAGATGTAATTATTAAAATAAAATAATTTTTAAAAAGTGATAATTGTTTTGCTTATTAAATATAATATTTTGTTATGTACTAGGTAATGTAATATATATTAATAAATACGTAACTCTTTTGTATGTTTAAAGTAAAATTTTAAAAACAGTATAGGGGTGTGAGGGGCGTAGCCCCCCCCCCCTCCGATTTCATTACCTCACCATTTCAACGCATACGCTAAGCTGAAACCCACGCTACGCCATAGCCAAAGCGTCTCATAACTTATATTATAATCTTTCAAGTTTTTAATTTATTCCGTCTTATCAAATAGGTACCTTGGTAATAGGTACTTACACCAGTTTCTTAAATCAGTCTAGATATAACCAAATACTTATCTGTAATTTAAACGGAGACATTCTAGAATGGTATCTATACCAGAATACTGAATATAGTAACAGTTTAGTATAATGTTCTAAGCTAAGAAAACGAAAAATGGATATTCTGTAATCAGAATACCTATAAGTAATGTATCGAATATTGTTCAGTATTTACTTTTTTATAGAACATTGAATGATAAGTACCTACCTAGGCATCTATTGTTTTCGTAAGTATAGACATATTATTGTTGTAAAACCGTAATTAGTATTCAGTATTATGGAAAAAAGTAACATAAGAATTATTTATATATTAAAAAGTATAGATTTTTATTATACCTACATGAAAAATCTAAAAAAAATTAAATATTTGTATAAAACATGTTTATTTTGTATGACAGAATTGTGTTCTTTTAAAAAAAAACTTTTATTGGAGAAATCAAAGTAGGTACCAACAATATTTGTGTACAAAGTTATTTTGATCTTAATCCAATAACATGAAGATTTTTTCTTTTGAATAAGTGGACAATTTGTCGAATTATTACCACAAAAAAAAAATAAATTAGGTTAGGTTCAAAATGCTTTATCTAATGTTTGTACTTCGTAAATTAAAATATTATACTTGGTATACAATTTAACCATAAAGTAAATTTCTTAAGCAACAATGCTATAAATAATTACATATATTTTTTTTAAATATTGACGTAATAGTTGTCGAGGTTAAACTCTTTTTTAAATTAAAAGAAAAATGTAAGAATTTTGTATTTTAAATTAATTATTAAAATAATCATAATTGATAGACACAGTATATTATATACTATACATCTTTTGCCAATAATAATAAATCTGAGGTAATTCATGAAAATATGTTTTATCATGTAACACGGCATCATAATATATACATTTTAATAAACTATAGGTACGTATATGTTTTCTAAATCAAAGAAACAAAAACCTAACAAGATTCAATCATGGCTTAGTTTCAGTAATAAAACGGCTTCGATTTTATTTGACAGTAGGTATCTACTATCTTGTTCAATGGGAAAGTGAATTTAGTTGATGCATTCAGGACGTCAAAATTTAAAATTCTCAATAGTTTTCAAAAGCACCGGGAAAAACGACATAAAAATTAAGGAAAACGGGAAATTTTAATTCAATTTTTTTTTAATTTAAAAAAAGCTAAATCGGTTTCGACTAATCGATTTTGGTTTTTGGTGTAACTCTAAAACAAATGACCGTATATACATGAAAAGTTCACTGGATATTTATATTTGCATTTTCTACACACAATAAAATTTTCAAAATATTTTGATTTGTTTTGAACTGTTAAGGAACATTTTCAGTTTATAATTTTATTAGTCTTTTTTTCTATAAATGTCACTAAAACTTTATTATTGTTGGGTAAAACTGCTTGAAAATTGAATACAAGGCTCCTACTATATTGTTACAAGCAGTTGAAAAATATCAAAAATACATATGTGTTTTCTTATTTATAAACATTTAAAGTTCAAATTTTGACGAAATTTATCGAATTGAAAATTTATAAATTATTTAGAAGTTAAAAATGTATAAGATGTTCAAATTTCATAGATAAGGATTAAAAATGTAAAATAAAGTTTCACGTAAATATGTTAAATATAAATTACTTTATTCACAATAATATCATCAAATATACTTAGTTATATAATAGGCTGACTGACCATCTTCGCTCAGAATCGTTTTTCTTATTCAATGATATCATTGAATTAAAATTTAACACAATCCATTACAGTGATCCAATTGTATCCTACTGTACAGCAGAGTGAAATCCACTTGCCCACTTTTTTTATTATTAAAGTAGGTTTTCATTTTAAATTGAATCAAGTAAATTTATTTATTTCAGATTTATAGTTTGTATAAAAATGTATTTAAACTATACGTATATAATTTTCAATTGGTATTCACATTTTTTATTAAATTTGTTCGAGTGACTGTCATTCCGTTAAAATATGTAAATTTAATTTTACTATCCAACAGTAAATCTATTCTAGTGCAGTACTGACAGTCATTTCAGTTTACTTTTACTTGATAAACGCATCTTAAAAAAAAACAGAAAAGCTTTTGTATGTGCTTTTGAGTGGCATCTTGAACCCGAGCCACTATCATATTGGCAATCTAGTTTAATCATAAAAACCTATCAGCAATCAATCGGAAAATGTGGTATTTCAAATAAATACACTACTTAAAGTGTTTTCCAAATAATGCATCAAAATAGCATATTTTAAAATAAATATGGTCTATAAAATATATTCTTATTTAAAGGGTTTAAACTTGTATATAAAATATAATATAAGTATTAAGTTTAAAATTTACAACATTAAGCCAAGAGTGTAATAAAAATGTATCTACAGGATCAGGTATACGTTTTATAGGCCTATATACGATTTAAGTGTTGTGCCGTCATCGAGAATATGATTCATAAAGGTTAAGTATAGTAGTTAAAGATGCATTTAATATTGAATTTACAATTTATATATATATATATATATATATTAGAAACATTAACTTAATGCTTGATATTATGTTTAATACTTTAATAGTAAATAGTTGGTATAAAGTGTTTTAATAGATTAAAACATATTATTTTATGCTTGTGACTTAAGACTTTAGTGGAATAAATAAATACCTACAATATTTTATCACGTCAAATTAGCATGTGTTTTTAATTTAATATATTTAATGAATATAAAGAAACTTGATAATTTTGTTGTACCTCTAATAATTCACAATTTAAATTGGTTAAATTACTTTTACGATTCAAGTAAGTTTTAAATGTTTTAAAATTAAATGTATATCATATTATTTTAAAATTCAAAATCAACAATAAATGCATAACATTATGTAAACTTTTAGATTTCAAATAAAATTAAGCCTAGAAAAATGAGTGATTAAAATTGTTTTCGTAGGTATTCATTACTTTGTATAATTATAGCGTTAGAATTTTTTCTTAGCTGTTAGGCTACATTGATGAAAAGCTAAGTAACTCAATTCTCAGGCGTTTTTTTTATATTTTACCTATCGTTTATAAATAATTTATATCATAATAACTATAGATATCTACCTATTAACGATTTTATATTCATGAGACAGGATTTACAATTAATTGAAACAAACGATAACAAACGTGTCAATGTTATTAGGTGAGTCATTGTTATTTAATAATATTTAATTTTTTTTTTCGTATATTAAGTTATTTCACAAATTGTGAGGCAGTAATTAAAATGAATCAGAAACAAATTAATATTAAATATTTGATTGTGAATCATATTCAAATTTCGGAACATGTAGAAACTTATCTTTTACATTTTTATCTTACGATATAATATTAGATAATAATATAATATAATATCTAATATTTTATATTTTATAATTTGTGTTTGAAATCCACAAAGTTAATTACATATTCTAAATATATAAGTAAAAATAGATTGTTAATAAATTAATTATTATTTATGAATTTTTGAATATTTCTGTTATTAGTTTTCGATATTATTTAGTGTACCTATCTATTACTATTTATCTTCATAATATATCACTGAACAATAAACATGTCTAATTTAACAACAAATATTCTATTATACTTTGTAAAATGATTTACATGCCAAAAAGATTTTTATAAAAATTTACAACATTTTTTCATAATAATATAAAATTAAAATAATTACCGTTTTGCGCCATAATATCGCTCTATATTGAGGCACGCACTGATGATTAGCATCCGTCAGCACAACGGATAAAAAAAATGGAAACTTATCCACATCTGATCCAACATAATTCTGGTGCACTATGAAAAAATATTTAAAATATTCTTTAAGTATATAACTATATAAGTACAACAAACATTTAAACAAATTTAGGTATTGCTTTTGAAATATCAAACATAATTGAAAAAAAAAAACAACAGTTGGTATGTTAAAAATACGTAAGCAAGCAAAATATGATTTAAAATATATACTTACATTTTCCCAAAAAGTATTTAAAGTACCATCTTGTCTGAAATTCCGGATTTTCCAGAACTGGAGTACAAGGTGATCCAAATATCTGAAAAATGTATTAAAATACAAATTGTTATTTCTAAAGAAACATAATTTAAAATAGAGTGAGAGAGAAAACATATTTTAAATTAAATTTGTATTATTAATGTACCTATTCATGTAGATTTTCTAATATATAATATATATATTTATAAAACAGTGATTGTACTAATTGTATTGTATAGATTGCAAATAAAATGTTTGATAAAAAAATAATAAAATAATAAATAAAAGTTTATTCCAACAAACAAATGATAAAAAAACTCTTATTTTAAATTATTTCTTTCATAGAACGATTAATTTTAATATATTAATATACAAAAATACATTTAAGTACATTCAATTTTTTATTGTCACTGAATTATTTTGAATAACACAATATGTATAAGTACTGAAATATTATTAAAAAGAACACATCATAATTTCAATTATTATTTATTATATAGGTAATCACCATATTATAAGATTTTATTATAATTGTTATTGTTATAGATTCAAATATAGAACCAAATGGTCCAAATGGAACAATACTTAATTAACATATACTCACAGACCACAATCGTAACTTTTGTTACGTAATTCTTGAACGTGTTAAAAATATGTCTTACTATTAATATATATTATAAAAGAATCATAAAATAATTTTTCATATTTCATAATAAAATATAGAATAATATACTTAAGATTGTTAATAAAAATATACGGAACGCAAATAGTAAGAACAATAGTATAACAATTTAATTTTGATTATTGAATTATGCCATGAATGTATCTATCTGTAGTTTTTCTTATTCATTTGTTTTAAAATTATCAATATTGTATTACTTTTCATCTCCATCACAAGATTGCTTAAAAGAGATAGATATTCATATAAATATTGTACTTATAAAGTTAAATTTACTATGTTAATTTGTATTAATGATAAATAAAAAAAAAAAAAGTAAAACGACGGATTAAAATTGTTCATATAATACTCCATAATATATGACCTTATTGTGTAATTTAGTTTTCATTCTCGATAGGAATAAATATATCATTTTGCACTTCAATAAAGCATTTATAAAATAAACTTTTTTCGACCCTTGAAAATCGATTTAATTGAAAAAATATTTGTAATTCTATCTCTCTTTCTCTCCTTTTTTTTGTCGATGGTTGTTGACAAATTTAATGGAGAAAGCCAATAGGTGTTATGTATTTAATCGAATTGTTTTTTTTTATCTAATAGCTTGCCCAAAATATATATCAAAAATAAATATTTGAAATTATCAGTTTACATTAGAGGTAGAACTAAACTCAAATAATTGAAGTAAAACAAGTAAGTAGATATATTCTTGAAATAATACAAGGATAAGTATATAGGTTAGGTCAGTATTGGTAGTAAAATAAGTAAATTTGTCCTCTGGATTAGTGGATCTATTGTATTTAACGTTATTATTATTAATTTATCACAGACGTTAATTAAAATAAATATCACCAGCAGAAAGTGCACAAGTTTATGTAGTTACTTGAACTGTAATATGTTCAGTGATTATGATGAATTACAAAATCTCTTACTTATAATATAAGTATTTATTTCAAGTACATTTTGATTCATTTACTTTTCTATTCAAGTGAAAATATTATTAAAATGTTTAATTTTAAGTCATAATACGATTTCAATTTATGGGTTTTTACTAATCTTTAGAGTATAATAAGTAGTATATTATTATGTCTATTATAACAATTTTAAAATTGAATGATGTAAACATCGAACACATTTAAATAAATGTATCAACTTTTCATGATTGCACAATGTTTTTGTAGTATTGTTTTATTTTATTTTTAGCAAAAAACACAAATGTTTTTGAAAATGTTTTGCCCCTGAGCCCGGATTATGACATACAACACTCATCAGTGTACCTAAACGGTATATCACTATACCATATTATGCAAAAGCGTTGATGACATACTATTATATTATTAAATAAATATATTGGTTCACCAAGGATGCTCACCCCCTTATTTTCTTGAACTATGCAGTTATTCAAAATATGATTTTTTTCATTTTTATACTACTTAAGGAGTGTCTTGTGGAGGTACAAACTTCTGCTTTTCAAATGATAACACCCCTATTCAACTATAAATTATATAGTAGATAATTTTTCTGAAATTTTTGACGTATCAAAATCAAAATCTGTAAGAGTAGTTTTTGAGTTATTTAAAATTATGTTCTAAGAATAAAAAGTCCAAGGTAATAGGTTTAAAAGTTTTAGGGGCTATGGTGATTTGAAAATGTTAGTCATTAATATTAATAATTTGTAAAAATGGCCCAAGTATAATAAATATCAGATCCAATTTTATATCTATTCAATACATATTTATTTAAAACCATTTTTAAGGGTTATTATCTTTAATACAAACATTTTCATACTTAAGAAACTATTTATTCGAATTTTGAATTAGGTACGACATCAACATTTTTAAAAAAAAATGATTCACTAAAATATAGTAATTACAGTAAAAAAGGGGGTTCTCATTTGAAAAACAGACGTTTGTGTCGCCACAGGGCGTATACACCACTTAAATAGTACATGAATATCATGAATTTGAAAATATGGTCTTTAAGTGTACTTAAAAATTTTAAAAATCAGAATTTTAATAAATTTTATATTAAGGGGAAAAATAGGCGTTAGAATGCTTGAAAAATCATGCTGTATATATTATTATATTCAATCACGATTTTCGTGTTTATTGAATGCATATATTATGACAGTTAAAATATTGTACTGTAATAAGGCTATGTAGATACTATAATACTATATACATAATTTACATTTTTTTTTATTCATCTGTATTCCCACTTTGCTGAAGTAGTAATGAGTCCCATACACTATATACATGAGGTTTATATATTGTAGTATAAATTCTTCATATAATATAAGTATATAACACATTCATTTAAGACATATACCATTGATTAATTGCAGAATTTCCAGTCAATTTTCTTTAAAAGGAAGATTTAGTATCCATTTGTCACTTACGCATTCGGGAGGTAAAATATTCATAGTTGTTAAAATGAGAATAATTAATAAAACACTATTCACGAAATCAGGTCAGGGAGAATGAAGCTGAATTAAAAAAAAATGTTCAATTGTTTAAAGATTTAAAAAAGATTTACAACTGATAAAATATACGCAATATATACATATGGTATTGTGGTTCGCGTATAATAAATTAGTTTAATATTTACAACATAATATAACACGAATCGGTATTGCATGTTACTGTGGTTAGTCGATGATGATGTCGATTATCTATAGCTGTATGCATGTATTAATGGTAGTACGAATTTATTATTAAAATTATTATTTGTACAGTTATTCGATTTATACCTAGTGTTTGAAGTATGAGAAATATTTCATGAAATATTTCAAATGAAATATTTCATTTTGAAATATTTCACTAAGTTGTGAAATATTTCACAAAAACGTGAAACATTGAAATTTTTTTAACACAAATAAAAACACAATTTATTTATTTTTTTAACACAATATTCAGTGTTCTATATTCTAATATCAAAATTCAGTAAGTATACAATATACATGTATAATATTGTATACCTACTTGTATCATTTAAACATTAAAATATTTAAACATTTTGAATACCAATTTAAATGTATAATACCAAAGGTTAGGTATACATACAGGTACCATATAGTGATGAAGGTAATTTATGACAGTTATATGTAAATATAAAAATTATTTAAAAATAAAACAAAATATATTAAAATACTGAAATATTTCACATATTTTGAAATATTTCATGAAATATTTCACGAAAGATTTCATTTTTTTAAATTTCATGAAATTTTCAAACACTATTTATACCTATATATGAAAAAAATGTTATTACAAAAAATATATCGGTATCTATAAAGTACTTACACATTATACAAGATATGTGTTTTTTTATTATTACGGAAAGGTGCAAAACCCACATTTTCATCAATACCTATAAGTTAAAAAATTGCCTTTCGAAAAAAAAATATATTTCTGTATAGGTAATTTAAAGTATTTTTTATATAATTTTAATTTTATCAATACCCCTTACTTTGTCTAAATGACAAGTCCTAAGTGATTAGTCCTAAAGCTTTAGTTTTAAACCTTGCTGCGATTATTTATGTAATCTATAGCTTACTTACCTATTGTTCTCATTTTAAACAAAGCTTATAGTTAAATCTCAATCAGAGATAATAATCATAATATGTATTTGAATATAGGTAACAAAACTGGCACATTTGGTTTGGTGTTAGTGTTCCATTTATCTAACCACAGGTATCAATTAATTGTCATGTGACAATAACCTGCAATATCGCCTCTATTCAAATTGCTTTGAATAAAACAAAAGGCTAGCAATCCGTGACTGCCAAAACACCGAAATATGACGGTTTATTATTTGTTCACGGGTGTCAACCAGTCTAGAATTCACTGTAATGTTAAAACGCCTCAAATCAAAAACGAGACAGTGTTTGTTTCTCATATTTAACTGTAAAAAAAACAATACCACTACGCAACAAAGCAAAGTGTCAAAATGTTTTTCAACCGAAATAATGAATAAATCTGATACCTACAATAGGAACCGACATAAATGTATTATGAAATCGTATGTTGGGCTACGATTTTTGTCTCCTGGGAGTATAGTCGTAGGTATAGAATTATTGAAATAGAATCAAGGCTACCTGCAGACTAAAGAAAAAAAACGAAGAAATTTCGATTTGCGTCCGAAACTCCAGTCTTGTACCAATAGAGCAAGGGTGCGATATTTCATCGCATCCGGCGAACTTTGTTATATATAATATATATATAATATAAACATTTTCACTATATAAACTCTTGATGAACGGTTTGTAAAATAAATAAACAGAAAAGTAAATCATTTAAGCGGGACATTGTGTTTAGTATGGAAGTGGTATAAAAATATAAAATACATAGGTATAGCTGTGCTACACAATTAATTTGTTGACATTT